TCATCATCTCAGCAGCGTGCAATTGTGGCCACGTACTTGCCTGGCGAAGACCTCGCGTAAACACCACCCCCTGGCGCAACGCAAGCCGCGTTTCCACTGGGACAGAGCTCCGTTGCAGCACGGTGTGTCGCAGCTGTTGGAAAACGCCCTTCAGAGCACCGATCTTGGCCGTGATCTCGGGGTGCCTGGAATCCGTGGAGCAAGTACGTGAGCGTACCAACATGTTTATCCTGCGCCGCGGCGGCCAGCTGGCCCTGCACGCCGCGAGCGTCAAAGCGGATGGCGCCCCCGCGGTCAGCGAAAAGCTGCTTCTGTGCCTCAGCGAACCCTGGGCCCGCGAGTCTGAGCGGCGCCTCTGTCTTACCTCGTTTGAAATGAACGATTCACCCATGCGTGGAGAAAACGACTTCGAAGATTGCCGCGCACTTTTTGGCCAATCTGGCGACGAGCTCACGCGCCTGGCCGAACAATGGCTGCACAGCATCGTCCACGTACCCTGCTGCGCCAAGTTGCACTGATTCCCGGCGCCCCTCGCCCTCCGGCTCAGCGCCGAAGCCGGCGATTAACGGTTCAGCGGGGAGTTCGAGAAGCAACCCTGCAGCGGCGAGGCGCAGCTCCACGGCGTGGACCACGCGGCTGAAGGCGAGGAGGAAGACAAAGTCCCCAAGAGCACTGCCTGCAAGATTCCCAGACTCAGTCTGGACGCAACCCGTAACGCCTTCCATCGCAAAGCAGGATTGCCTGTGCAATTTGCTCAGCATCTTCAGATAGTGCTTCGTGCCTCCGCCCTCGGTCCAATGCTCATAGGCACAGAGGAACTCGGCGATTTCCGCGGCGTCCTCGGCAGAAAACCCAGAGGCCAACAAACGCGCAATAAATGCGTGCATGGACGCCGGCGGCGCTGCAAATCGACAAACCAAGCGCCGAAGGAAAGCTTCTTACCACGAGCAGCCTCCATGCACGCAACCATGTACAGATGGGCAAACTCCGTGGAGCCTTTGTTGAGCCCGCCACCAAACTGCAAGGCAGAGCTGGTCGCGGCAAGAGCCGGCATCCCGCGGGACCTCCTGTGGAGGGACAGCGATTTTGACGCAGTCTCACAAATCGTCACGTCCCTAGAAGACTGCATTGCCCCCTTGCCTTTGTGCATTTCGAACAAATGCCCCCCTTTCCACTCCAATGGCGGCTCAAAGGACACAACTGACTTCAACGTCAGCGTGTGGAAAAACCTGGCACACTCAAGAGGGCTGCTTTGAACAATTCGGACCCGTTGCAATCTTCGGACATCCCGACCAATGGCCTCATGTGCGCAAAAATGCATGCGATATCAGACACGCTTGGGACAAGACCAGAGTCGATCGCATCAACAGAAAGAGCTATATCAACGAGATTATCGGCTCTAACCTTCTCCACCAAATTGCACATTGAAACTTTCGTCCCTTGCAAAAACTTGGCAAAATGTTCGGCTATCTCGCGCTTTGTATCGCAGGCTGGCAATGTGACTGTGCCGTCTGCCTTCTTCACACCTGCTGCCGAATGGTGGGGTGTCTTGTATAGAGGCTTTAGCACATTGAACATGCGCCGCATCGACACGTCGGTCGCTGCGCTCTCCAGCTCAAACAGCGTCCGCTCAGCAAAATCGGCAGCATCCTTGTCAAGCGCATGCCGGATTTCGACCGAAATTTCGTCGATGGCCGCGCCGCAAAGGCTCCTGTTGAGACAAACATCACAAACTGAATGCCTGCAATCCACCAACTCAGATGGCGCCCTTCCCTCCGCTGCGGCCCAGGCCAGGAACACGGCATGGCACGCAGCATTGCCAAGCAGACGCGCAATCTCCTGCCCAAACGACCGAAAACGCTTCTTGAGCACACCTCTCAGCAATACGAGGTCCAACGTGCCCTGACTCAGTGCCGCGCTGCGTTTCGCGCGCTTGGGCTTGGGGAAAGCATGCACAGCCGCATCTTGAATTTGAGACTGCCTGATATAGCAATGCGACGTGGCGTCAACATTGAACGGAACAGGGGCTCAGCGAGCAGCTGCCTGAAATTATGTGCTTTAGCTGGGTCGTCTGGGCCGCGCCTGTCGTAAAAAGCCGGTCGGCGCCGCACCATGGAGTGCGAGAAATTTGGTTGCATTTTGACACGAGTACCGATCGTGAGGTGATCATCGCGCTCATTGGCCGTGTCGTGCACGTCCTCCACAGCATACGAGCCTTCAGCGCAGTCAACATTGGAAGACGACAAGACGTAGGCACTCCTGGTGGCGCAACCAGGTCCAGCATATATGTGTGCTGGGCCGCTCCCCCTGCCCACACTCCTGCGCAGACACCAGGACTCCACAGCCCGCGCTCCTGCATCCACGCTTCAAGCAAGGGCGCGCTGGCAGCATGTGACGGCAACGGGTCAGGGCTACCACCCACGAGTGTTTTCAAACTTTTCGCCTCTGGAGCGGTGATCTTCGAGTCAATCATTACTACGGCTGGGAGCTCCCGCAGCGCTTTGGGCAGCAGCGTTTCGGCCTTCCCCCACCACGATCAACACTCTTGATGCCCCTGGTGCGGCGCATGCAACGAGGGAACGACAAATCGTCACACAGAGGTAGAAACTACTACAACCAGCGCCCTCGGATCAGCATGGTGAATAAACACGTCATCAAATCGAACATATACTTTGCTTTTCCATGGACAAATAAACGGCCGAGATGCAGTCAAAACAATGGAGCAACCTAGGGAGCCATACACATTGGATAAGCCTGCGCTCTGAATCACAATGGACATGCTTCCGCTCATGCTTTCCTCAACCAGTCTTCGCCTCGTCGCTTTGCTGCGGGACTCCTGGAAGCCCGCGACGTGAAAATTACGATGCTCAAGCTGCGCTAAAGCAACCTCAAATTTTGCCTTTGCCCTGAGGGTCAATGCGTTTTTCTGACCGAAGATACGCAGCTCACACGCTGTGATCGACTCGGTGTACGCCTGTGGGCTGCAATCCGAATCAATCCGCTCTGCCATCACAGCTACCGGCAAAAACCTGTCAATGGTGATGTTCGCCAGATTCATGGTTCCACCCTCGAGCAACTCAGTGGGATATTCCCCTCTTTGTTGGGCGCATGGCCCCCGAGGAAGAGCCAACTCACATCATTTTTGCTAGGGTTGACTGTGAATGCGAAGTCCGCGAAAGCGTCGTCGCAACGGATGCCTAGGTGAGCGGACCCATGACCTGCTGCATCGCACAACTTATTTGCAAGCTCGTTCCAAAGATGGCCACAGTGAGAGTGCACGTGCGCGTGCACTACTTCAACAAAGCTACACAAGAGTAAAAGCAGACTGCGGGCAACTGAACACACATTCTGTTGCACGGAGGCTATGGCGAATCGAAAGGCGACGTCGGCAACAGCCATGTTGTCTCAAAAGACTATGACAGCCACGTGTCCGAAAGCATCTCTAGACCGAAGCGCCCAAGAGAACGCCCATATCATGGCAGACGCTTCCGCTGCAAAAGACATCGAGGCGTCGTCGGGCACCGCTCCGATAAAGTGGGGGTGACTGCTATCAACAACAACTTTTCCACACGGATCCGATATACATCATGGTGCCGTCCAGCCCCTCGCCCAAAACACAATCCCCATGTCGGAACAGGATATGTTTCAGCTGAGACGTAAGCGCTGTTTTTGGATCCCCCTCCGGACCTATCCAAATGAATATGAGTGGATCGCGGGGGTTCCGGGCGAGTAGCACAATGTAATCGCAAGCTTTGCGGCTGTAGATTCCAAGAGTCACACGCCGCCTAAGAATAGCGACAGTGAGAGGACGAAAGGGCGAAGTAAAGACATCACCGCACTACGATCAAACATGCTATATGCATGCAGCCAGAAAGCCCTGGCTGGGAAACAATTGACACCGACCTCGAGGCACGAGTCCAAATCACGAGTACAAGAACTGAGACGAGTCGCACGAAAATCATCGCAAGACTGCTCCGCCCGCCCCTGAGCTGGAGTAACTCCTCCTCCTCCTCCTCCTCCTCCTCCTCCTCCTCCTCGTCCTCCTCCTCCTCCTCCTCCTCCCTCTCCTTCTCCTCGTCCTCCTTCCTTTCAGGCCCTTCTTGGACCTCCGGAGGCCTCCAGGGACCTCGGCGGGACCCCAGAGGCTTCTCCGAGGGTCGAGAGGGCACGAGGATCGAGATCGGGTCGGACGCTCTCGGCCTCCTCCTCCGCGACGTCCCTCCCCCGTCCCCGAGAGGGGGACGGCGGTGGTGGCGACGACGACGCCGGCGAAAGGTCGCGCAGATCTGCGGGTGGTCGAAGGATCTGGGGATGTCGAGCCAGGGGATCGACCACAGAATTGAGGTACCCCAAAGTTGTTTTTTCAGTCGAGTCTACGTAAAAGGCGAAGGTTTGTTCCGCTGGCCTATCACCATGCTGCGTATCTTCTCGTAGATTCGACGAGAAAGTCAATGAACCTGGCGCGTCCCCAATTCGGGGATTTCCTTTTGAAAATGAGCCCGAGGAACCCGGGGAACCGGGGAACCCGAGGAACCTGAGGGACCCAGGGAACCTGGGGAACTCGAGAAACCCGGGAAACTTGGGGAACCCCGGGAAACCCGAGGAATCTGGGGAACCCGAGGAACCTCCGGGAAACGGGCAACGTAACAATAGGAGGCACCAGGCGCGGGGCACCCGAGGAACCCGAGGAGCCCGAGGAAATCTCCGAGTAACGGGCAAAGTAGCAACAGGAGGCACCAAGCTTTCTCCAAGTGAGAAGTCCGTAGGCAAGCCTCATCTTGGGGAAGTTTGGGGTACATCGCTTCTGGAGCCGATCCCCTGCCCGAGGATTTCAACTGAACACCTCACCCCGTCCTGGCGGGCCGGTATCCCGGGCCCAGGGTCGGTGCAGCTGCCTCCCCGGCCGAGCCGGGAGGGCGCGGCATGCACCGGTGCCGGGCCCGGGGCGGGCCTGGCCCTGATCGCTGCGGTGGTCAGTTCCCAGGCTCCCTCGCGTCGCGAAGCAGTCACGACGGGAGGTTTTCCACTATTTTCGGCCCCCGGGGCCCTCGCCAGGCCTCGGGAGCGTTAGGAAGAGACTCGGGATGAGGAACCAGTCCCGGGGACGGGGTCGAGACCTCTGGGGGTCGACGTTGTGAACAAGAATCAAGGCGTCAGGGGTTTAAATTGACGTCCCCTCCGAGGAGGACGTGCTGGGGAAGCAGCTCGTGGAGACGCTCGTGCCCTACGACAGCCAGGACCGTGTGGTGGAGGTGCGCGGGCGGCTTTGCCCTTCCGCGGAGGATCGGATCGGATTGGCCGGCCGGCACGTTTGGAACCACGGCGCTGTCTGGGGCTCTTCGCTGGAGCCACGCATGTGGAGAGCCATGTCCTGAGAAGCAGCTGTGGCAGCACAGTCAAGATGCCGAAACAAGGACCATCCTTAATCGTTTTGGCGAAACGTGCTGTTACAAGAAGCTGTGCCGCCTTTCGCCAAGGAGCGCGCGCGCTCTGCCACTCGGTTCCCGCCTGCGCCATGACTCTCGCGACTATCGCAGCCCTCGCCATCCTGGTCCGCACTGCCGCCGCAGATCGTCAGAGCGTCCACTCGGAGCTGAGTGGCGGTGCGCACATGAAGGGCGAGGGCCCACCGTGCACACGAGACATCGGCGATCAAAGACCAGGCCCGCTGCTGTAGGAGCGGGCTGACAGGCCGGAGGCCTCGCACGCGGAGGAGAAGGCCCAGCACAGCTGCCACGAGCTACTGGGCGCCGAGGCGGCCGAGCCCAACGCTCGAGGCAAGATGGTCGATGAGAAAATCCAGAAGTTGGGAGAGCTGGCCCCCTCGTCCTCGCAGATGGGCCACGGCGAGGAGGAGCCGGCGCTCCCAGAGTCTGCGGAGCCCTGCGGCGAGGAGGAGGAGGAGGAGGAGGAGATCGAGGAGGAGGAGGAGGCGGAGGAGGAGGCGAAGGAGGAGGAGGAGGAGGAGGCAGAGGCGGAGGCGGAGGCGGAGGCGGAGGCGGCGGCGGAGGATGATAAGGAGGAATCATACTCAGAATAATGCTAATCGTAAGAATAATACTAGTATCATATTACTCATAATAACCATGATAATAATTACCCCAGTGCGACCCTACCTAGAAGTTGGAGCCCCTAGGAAAGCAGCATTAGTTGCTATACTATGCTATACTATGCTATGCCATGCTATGCTGCGCTATGCTATGCTATGCTATGCTATGCTATGCTATGCTGCACTATGCTAATGCTATGCTCTGTTATGCATAGCTATGCTATGCTATGTCATGCTGCGCTGTGCTATGCTAAGCTATTAAATGCTATGCTATGCTATGCTATGCTAAGCTGCGCTATGCTATGCTATGCTATGCTATGCTATGCTATGCTGCGCTGTGCTATGCTGTGCTGTGCTGTGCTGCGCTATGCTATGCTATGCTATGCTGTGCTGCGCTATGCTATGCTACGCTATGCTCCCTACCTAGGCTCTGCCTAGACGGGTTCTTACCCTGTGTGCTTAAAGGGGCCGGGCAGTGTAACTCGCCCCGGGCGGTTCCCCCGGCATCCGCCCCGCGGTTCCCCCAGTTATGTCCCCTTAGCTTAGCGTTGCTTATCTCATCTTAGCTTAGCGTATTTCAGCTTAGCTTAGCTTAGCTTCATCTTAGCTCAGGTTTATCTTAGCTTAGCTTACGTTCATCTTAGCTTCGCTGAGCTTTAGCATAGCAGAGCACAGCATAGCATAGCATAGCGTAATATAGCATAGCGCAGCACAGCATATCATAACATAGCCCAGGATAGCATAGCATAGCGCAGCACAGCATAGCATAGCATAGCATAGCATAGCGCAGCACAGCACAGCACAGCATAGCACAGCGCAGCGTAGCATAGCATAGCATAGCAGAGTAGAGCATAGCATAGCAGCAAAGCAAAGGCAAGGCATAGCATGGGTGTAATTCCCTACCTAGGCTCTGCCTAGAGGGTTAGCTTAGCTTAGCCTAGCTTAACTTAACTTAGCATAGCGCAGCGCTGCATTAGCATACCATAGCATAGCATACCATAACCAATCATAGCATCGCATAGCATAGCATAGCGCAGCATAGCATAGCATAGCATAGCATAGCATAGCGCAGCATAGCATAACATAGCGCAGCTTAGCATAGCATAGCATAGCGTAGCTTAGCATAACACAGCGCAACATGACATAGCATAGCTTAGCATAGCATAGCATAGCAACACATAACATAACATAGCGCAGCATGGCATCGCATAGCATAGCATAGCGCAGCATAGCATGGCATAACATAGCATAGCATAGCATAGCAACTAATGCTGCTTCCCTAGGGGCTCCAACTTCTAGGTAGGGTCGCACTGGGGTAATGCTATGCTACTCTATGCTATTCTATGCTGTGCTCTGCTATGCTAAAGCTCAGCGAAGCTAAGATGAAGGTAAGCTAAGCTAAGATAAACCTGAGCTAAGATGAAGCTAAGCTAAGCTAATATTAAATAAGCTAAGCTAATATGAGATAAGCAATGCTAAGCTAAGGGGACGTAACTGGGGGAACCGCGGGGCGGATGCCGGGGGAACCGCCCGGGGTGAGGAACACTGCCCGGCCCCTTTACGCTAACAGAGTAAGAACCCTTCTAGGCAGAGCCTAGGTAGGGAACAATATATGTACTAATGCTAGTACTAATATTAAACTAATATTACTACTACTACTGCTACTACTACTACTACTACTACTACTAATACTAGTGCTGATACTAATAGTAACACTAATACTCATATTAACACTAATACTAATACTGATACTAACACGAATACTAATACTAATACTAATACGAATACTAATACTAATACTAATACGAATATTAATACTACTATTAATACTAATACTAATACTAGTACTAACACTCATACTAATACTAATACTAACACCAACACTACTACTACTACTACTACTACTACTAATACTAATACTAATACTAATACTAATATTAACACTACTACTACTACTACTACTACTAATACTAATACTAGTATTAGCAGTAGCAGTTTTATTAGAAATACTAATACTGATACTATTACTGATACTAATACTGATACTCATACTAATACTAATACTAACATATTACTAATACTACTACTAATACTAATGCTGATACTAATACTAATACTAATACTAATGCGAATGCGAATGCGAACGCGAATGCGAATGCGAATACGAATACGAATACGAATACTAAAACTAATACTAATACTAATACTAATACTAATACCAATACTAATACTAATACTAGTTCTAATACTAAGACTGTTCCTACTATTTCTACTACTACTACTACTACTAATACGAATACGAATACGAATGCGAATACTAATACTATTACTAATACTAATACTAATGCTAATGCTAATACTAATACTAATACTCATAGTAACACTAATACTTATACTGATACTACTGCCAATATTACTGCGAATAATCATGATAAGACGAAAGATGGTACTAATACGAGTGCTATCAACACGAGTGATATTAGCAATAGTGCAACTATCCGGCGCAGTACATTTGCAATACAATTGCCCCAAATGTATTGCACCGCCCTATTTCAGCTGGACCCCCTCCCTTTTGGGTCGACCAAATCCGTCCTCCGTCCATCCCGCTCTTGCGGATCAGCATTGCCCAGACCCCTGAAGTAATGATTTTTTCATGCTGTCGACCCCCAGAGGTCTGATAGAGCGCGCTTGTGGCGCACTTCTCACTGAAAGGGGGCCCCCAGCTTCAAGCTGCCCCCCCCCCCCCTGCTTGGGAAAGGGGGGGGGGTGCTGCCGAAGCTACCCCGCCCCGTCCCCCCCTTTTGTGGACATTCCAGGGGCAGGGAGGCCCTGGCCAAAGGGGGGACGGGGGGCCTGGAAGCCACCCCGCCCCCTTTTCGGGGCCAAGGGCCAGCCCGGGCTTTCCTTTCAAGGGGGGAGGGGGGGCTTCTGGAGCTGCCCCCTCCGTCCTCTTCGCAGCTGAGGCTGCCGTGCCAAGGTGGGAGGGGGGGGCGCCAAAGTGGCCCCCCCTGCCCCTTTCCGGAGCTCAAAGGCAGCCCGGGCTTACCTTGCCAGGGGGGGGTTAGCTAAGGGGGTACCCCCCCCCTTGTGGTCGCGCCACGGGCGGGCTCTCTCAGGGGCCTCGGCCCCCCAGTCGTGTCTTGGCCACCCCGGGGCTCGGCGAGGGCCCCCAGGAGGCCGCCGCCGGCGAGAAGCCTCCCGCCGGGATCCCTTTTCTGCGCAGCGCGAGGCAGAGGGGGCCCGCGCAGGACACGGGCAGCAACCATAGGGGAACGAAAAGTGGCATAAACATAAAAACTCGGAGGTCCGCGCGGATTTCTCGGCCCGGCGCTGGGGCCCCCCGGCGGCGCCTCCAGCGCCGCCCCTGGCGCGCTCCGCGCGCCAGGGAGGGGGGGTCTGGCGCCGATCCTAGAAATCCGCGCGGACCTCCGAGTTTTTATGTTTGTGTGACTTTTTGTTCCCCTAAACCAAGAGGCTGAGGCGAGGCCCGCGCTGGGCCGAGGCGGGGTCCCTGGGCTTCGGGCCGCCCCTCAGGCCGGGGAGCCCCCTCGTGGCCGAGGCCTGCCTGCGGTCGGGGAGGCCCCCCCTTGCCCTGTGGTGCTCCGGCCTGCTTTGGCCTCGGCCTCGGTGGGCCCTGGAAGCGACAGGGCCTTGTGGTCGCCGGTTCCGTTTTGCCGTTCCTGTTTTGCGGGTCCCGACGCCATTTTGGTTTTTACCGGTCCCGGCTCCAGTTCCAATCCAGGAGCCCTTTTTGTTGCCGTTTCCAGTCGCCGTTCTTTTTGGCCGCCTCCATTTTCAAGAGACACTTCTTCGGAAACGGTGAAAAACGGGCCCTGCCGTTTCCAAGGCCCAGTAAGGCTTTGACCATTGGCAAGAATTTCAAGCACCACGAAAGTACCGAAACTGGAGGGCTTTCACGTGTCGGGCCCTGGGAGGCGATACTCGTTCGACACTTTTCTTGGTGCTAGCGTGTCGGGCAGACTCTGAGTCGATACTTCTCTGGGTGCTCGACATTGTTTCTGGGATGTAGTCCTCAAGTACGATGGGAACAACATAACCCTTGTTCCTTATTCAGCGTCACTCATGGTATCACGGTGACTGTAGGAGCCACGAGCGTGGATATTTCTGTTCTAAACAAGCAGCTGTGGCAGTATGTGTTTGCGTCCCTGGACGCCAACCTCTACTGCCCTCACCAACCGTTCACTCCAGGCAGGATGGCGGGGAGGTCGAACATCGAGAACAGTGCTTGTTTTTGCAGTTGTGGAACTATCACTTTTGATATATTTTTGTTGATTCTTTTAACCGATGCTCATTGTATTGTTTCAACTGTTTGCGACCCTCGCTTCTCGCACACTATTTTGTAACAGGGATAGCCTTCGTGCTCAAACTGGGCCCTTAGATCACCGACTAAAAGAACGACGGCTCCCGCTCGCGATTTCTACATTTCATTCAGGTCTCACGCTCCCGATATATCCTCGGGAGGAGGAGGAGGGGGAGGAGGAGGAGGAGGAGGAGGAGGAGGAGGAGCAGGAGCAGGAGCAGGAGCAGGAGCAGGAGCAGGCACAGCAGGAGCGTGGGTTCAGCAGCGTTTCGGTTTATTTTTTTTGGCACGTCCATTTTATCATGAGTTTTTATAGTACAAACACGAACACATTTATTCCTTGGGGGGCGGGGGCAACGGGGGTCCGTGTCGTCAGGGGTGTGGGGGGGGGGGCGCCGTGCCCGGAGGTGCTCAACGCCGCGCTCCAGGGGAGCGAAGTGGACAGCTATGAGTTGCCCCTGCTCGATAAGGCCGGGGCCCCCCCTCGTCGCCGTTCACACGTCCCGCCCCCCTTCACCCCCTTTCCTTCCCGATCCTCCAGTCTCTCCCTCTCTCCTTTCTCCTCCTCCCTCCCCTTCGCCCCGCGTCACTCCCCCCCTCCTCCCCTCCTTCCACAGTTGCGCAATCTGAGTGCTTCTCTCTTCCCTCCCCCGACAACGTCCTGAAAGCATCCCGCCTTCTGTTTTGCGCACGTGCGATTTCAAACATTGACTTGCCGTGTGGTCGCTTCAATCGGGCCGTCCTGTCCGCGGGCCGTTCTGTTCACTCGAGGTGCGACGGTGGTCCAGCCTGACCTCCTGCCGCCCTCGCCGCCACGGCCCTGTCTGGGGGGCGCCTTCCCTCTCATCCCCCCTGCCCCGTTGGGGTGCTGCTGTCCATCGTGGGGTCAGCTCGGCTTTGGCGCGGAGCGAAGGGGAGATGCCCTGGGCCCCTCCCTGGTCGGAGCGAACGGCGAGGGCGAGCGGGGGGTCTCGCCCCCCCCCCCCACACACAGAAAAACCCTCCGCCCCCCTTCTCGCCTCCCCCCCGCCGCCGTGGCGGCTGCCTGCGCCACGCACGCCCTGGGCGTTGCCGCCCATGGGCGCGGTGCTCTTCGGCCAGGCCTGGGCCCCGGTCTCGTGCCCTGCCCTGGCCGCGCCCCGCTGCCTCGGGCCTGGCCTGGGACAGGAGTGGCTCCTCCTTGCAGCCCCTCGCGGAAGGCCACCGGCAGAGCCTGGATATTTTTGGCCGGCCGGCCTCCGCGACTGCGACCCCTGGAATGTCCTGGCTCCCCCTGGCACGTTGCCGTCCGCTCATTCGATGACGGCTCGCCTCGCGATTTCCGTCGGTGGCGCCCCCACTCCCCTCAGCAGCTCGCACAGAGGTGCACTGCCTGGAAGTGCACCGGTCTTCGGCGCCTGGGGCCGCCTGTGCGATCTGCGCCCCGCAGGTTCTCTGTGGGTGGGGCCTCCCCCTTCCTCTGCTTCTGCGGCCGCCCTCGCCCTCCGTCCCACCTGCGCCGACGCGCCCGTGGTGCGGCTCGCCTCGCCGCGCCCGCTCTCGAGCGCGCCAGCGGCTGCTGGCGCTGCGGACAAGCAGAATGGTTCGCTCGGGGCGTGGCGGGTGTTTGGAAACGAGGGCGCTCCGGCGCGGGTCACGTTCCTATCACTGCTTCCTTGTCGCCGTCGCCCCGTTCTTTGCCCCTCCCCCGCCTCTGCTCCTGCTTGCTGTTCCTCCTCGTTTCCCTCCTCGTTCTCCCCTTTCGTCTTCTCCTGCTCAGTCTCCTGTTTAGCCCATGTGCGCAGCTCCCCTCAATCTTGCGCATGTCGCGACGTTTTTTTTTTTTTTTTTTTTTTTTGTTGTTTTGTTTTTTGTCTTGCCGTTTTTGTTTTTTTATTGCGGGGGGTCCAGGTCCGCTATGACGGCCGGCAGTGGACAGAGAAACATCAACCCAGTGAGAAGGGATGTGTGGAAAAGTCAGATGTCAGATGTGGTTCGGGCGCGACCTAGTTTGTCCTCCCCCTCTCTTCTCGCTCTCCTCCATGTTTCCTCCATGTTACGCCGCTTCCTTCCTTCCCCGTCCGACGAGGCGGGGAAACTGCACACCCTCACGCTGAACGCGGCAATGTGCGTGGGGGTCGACGGCGAGACAACAGGACCGTCTTCGGGTGCAGGAGGGGCATGAGTCAATGATCTTCAGGACGTGCGTTAGCTGCGTGTGTGTTTACCCCGTCCATTTCCGTCGATCGCATGTGGCCTGTGTCGGCCCTCATTGCGCTGCCAACGTCGCACAGACGGGCTTCGGTGGACTGGCACATGTCAGCGCTAACGCACATTTTGAGAGTTCATCGAAGGGGGGCAGTGGCTGTCCGCGGGTGTGGGCGCCGAAGATTCGCCCGACGCTTGGGAGGAACAGGGGTGGTGGTGGCAGGAGTAAGGGGCTCCGGAGCTGTGACGGGCGAGGGGCTGGAACAGGGTGGGCGTCTCCCCGAACCGACAGGTTCACAGGTCGGTGGTGTCAGCGCGCAGGGCCGACCCCGGGACACGGCGACCCTTGCGTCCGTGCGATGCTCGCGCGTCGTTCCGGGGTCCCGCAGGCCAGGCGAGCAGCGTCCGAGTATGCTGCAGAGAGGCGCTGTGGCCGGCTCTGTCGACCTTGCGTGAGCGGCCTATGGCGCAAGAGGAGGGGGACGGAGACAAGGGGCAGTGGCGGCTTTCGTGCGGTGGTGGGCTTCTCGCAGTCCTCGGCCCATCTCGCTACCGCGATCATGTTTGAAGGCTTCCAGCGGTGCGACAGTGGCGTGGTTTCGGGCCCCCTCTTCGGCCTCGATAGGGGGCCTCTTTCGGCTCTCTTGGGGGTCTCTTGGGCCACCGTGGGCTGCTCGTGGGGAGTTCTTGGGTCGTCTCCTACGCTCTTGCGACAGCTGCGGTGAGAGTGTGCAGAGTGTGCGGGGGTGAGGTCCCCAGGCCTCAGGGGCGGCTCACCCATCCCACCCTGGTACCGATTTTCGCTCCTGTGGTCCCGAAGCACTTTCGGGCCCTGGGTTATGATGTTCCAACCTACTTCAGCCTTGATCACCAGGAAGAATTTCGAGCACCAGGAACGTGCCGAAGCTGGAGGGTTTTCACGTGTCGGGACCTGGGAGGCGATACTCGTTCGACACTGTTTCGATACTTTTTTAGGTTCTCGTACTTATTTCTGGGATTTGGTCCCTGGGGGCCGTCACTGTGCACCAGGCTCGCTCGAGGCGCTCAACGATGAATCCAGGGCGCCCCCAATACACTCAGGATGCCTCGAGAAAGAGGCTGACATGTGATTGTAAACAATATCGTGTTTCACTGTTCCCAACCCTCCTGCGTGGAGCACCCGCTTTGAAGAGAGCGGTGCAGTCTCCGTCCTCCTTCCTCCCGCCTCCCTCCTCCGCCTCCCTCCTGATGCCTTCGACCTCGCCTCTCTGCGAGCTGCGGAGCTGTCGCCACTCTTATGGGCTCCTTGGGGGGTCCAGTGGAGCGACGTCGTACGCGGATCAGACGAGACCTCGCCGCCTCCTGGGGCCCCGAACTGCGAAGTTGTTGCCGTTTCCGTGGGCTCATCGGGGGGCCCAGCGCAGATCCGGATGAGGCCTCGCCGTCCCCGGGGGCTGCAAACTTGAAAAGTGTCGCCACCGGGCTCCTGTGGAGTCCAACGGCGTGACGCTCTACTCTGGTCAGATGAGACCTCGCCGTCCTTGTGGTGTGCGAATTGCGAAACCGTCTCCTCTGTCGCCCTCGCCGTCCCTTGGGGCTGCGAACAGCGAAGTTGTCTCCAGTTTCTTGGGCGCTGGAGTGACGTGCAACGCTGATCAGATGCGACCTCGCTGACCCTGGGGTCTGCGAACTGCGAAGCTGTCTCCAGTTTCGTGGTCTCCTGGGGGGTCCAGCGGAGTGACGTGCTACGCCGATCAGATATGAGACCTCGCTGAGCCTGGGTGCTGCAAATTGCGGAGCCGTCTCCACTTTCGTGGGCTCCTGGGAAGCCCAGCGGGGTAACGCCTTGTGCGTTTCCGAAAGTGACCTTGTCGTCCCTTGGGGCTGCGAACCGAGAAACTGTCGCCATCTTCGCGGGCTCCTGGGAGGCGCAGCGGATTGACGGCCTGCGCGGATCATTTGAGAACTCGCCGTCATTGGGGGGCTTCAATCTGTGGAGCTGTCGCCACTTCGGCGTGCTCCTTGGGCGCCTCGCGGGTCGATGCCCTGTGCGTTGCGCAGGTCAGGATGGGACCTCGCCGCCACTCGGGGCCGCAGGCGTTGCGAAGCTGTCGCCGCCGTCGTGGGCTCCTCTGAGGAGTCCCCGGGAGTGACGTCAGACGCAGACCAGAGGTCAGACCTCGCCCTCCCTGGGGACAGCAAACTGTGGGACTGTCGCCACACTCGTGGGCTCGTTCGGTAGAAATTCATGGGAGCCTTCTGTACCCTCGTAATTCTTTTTTAGCGTCCATTGGCGTCGATTAGCGTCTGGGAGTCGATGAGATAGCGCCGATTTATTTAGCTTCGGTCAGCGTCGATTTAGCTTCGTTTGGCTTCGACTAGCGTCGGTTCACAAGAGCTGACAAGGGAGGCTCCCATGAGTTGCCGCCGAAGGCTCCTGCGGGGTAGAGTGCGTAGAGCGGTCCTACGCGGATCATCCGATGCCTCACCGCCCCGCTGGGTGCCAGGAAGTGCGAAGCAGTGCAATCGTCTCCACCTTCGTGGGCTCCTGGGGGTTTGCGCAGTGCGGTGCTACGCGGATCAGAATGAGACCTCGCCCTCCCTGGGGGTCTGCGAAATTTGAAACCGTTGCCATTTTAGTGGGCTCCCGGGGGTCCAGCGTAGTGTGGTCGTACCTGGAACAGAAGAAAACCTCGCCGTCCTGGGGCCTGTGAACCGCGAAGCCGTCGCCACGTTCGTCTGCTCCTAGGGACTCCAGCGGCGTGGTGTGTTGCGCGGGATCTGAACGAGACTTCGCGATTTCTGGCGGCTGCGAGCCGAGACGCTTTCCCCCCACTTGCTCTGCCAGTTTTTTTTTTTTTTTTTTTTGTTTACATCGACGCAAAGCTACCCCCCACATACTCACAGGTGGTGGGGTGAGGCCACCTGTAGCGTGAGTGCACCTGCCGTGAAGCCCACCACACGCATGAACCCGAAGAAGACCTCAACGAGCAGGAGCACGCACGGCATCATGAAGAGCTGCCAGAGTCGTCCCAATCCTCGTCGAATAAACGGCTGAGACACGAACTGTGCCACGTAGCACGGCAGCGCGGACAGGCTGTCACAACCGCTCCACGAGGAATGGGAATTCCACACGCCCTGCATGAGCACCTCCCTGGCCCGCGACGCCGACGAACGAGGGTGCGATCGCAACGGGCGCAACCAGGATCTGACCCACTGACCTCGAGCAACCACGGCGGTACATCAGGCTGCCGCCGCACGAGGCCCGCCTCACGGATCTCCGAGACGCCGTCGCCCAGCGTAGCGCCTGCACACGGCGCCAGCGAGACCTGCGTGTCCATGAACTCCTCAGCGACAGCGCCGCCAGAGTATTAGGAGGAGGAGGAGGAGGAGGAGGAGGAGGAGGAGGAGGAGGAGGAGGAGGAGGAGGAGGAGGAGGAGGAGGAGGAGGAAGAGAGGAGAGGAGAGGAGAGGAGAGGAGAGGAGAGGGGAGGGGAGGAGGGGGAGGAGGAGGATGATGAGGAGGAGGAGGAGGAGGAGGAGGAGGAGGAGGAGGGTGCATTGACCTGGGCTATAGCGCGCAGGATCCAGCAGGATCTTGCAGGATCCTGCAGCGCCCGACCGATATCCAGGTCTGCACTGTGGCCCGGGGCCCCCGACGCACAGGCGTTCTGGGGCCCCTCGCGGCCGAGGCCGAGAGGGCCCCTCCCTCTTGGCGCACTCGCTCTGCCGTCTTGGGCTCACCGCAAGCGGGGGCGGCGAAGTCCAAAAACCCTTCCTCGCCGAGCAAGGGTTCGGGCAACTCGATGGGCGGCGGGGGTATCCGGAGGGTCGCGCCGCATCGCCGATGCATCGGCGATGCGGCTCGATGCGAAGCCCTATTTTTTTCCATGCCGACGTCGCCGATGCGTCGCCCACGTCGACGATGCATCGCCGATGCATCGCCGATGCATCACCGATGCATCACCGATGTATCGCCGATGTATCGGCGATGCGGCGCGACCCTCCGACCACGTCTACTCGGACCCCATCTGGGAGGCCTCTTAGGTGGTAGGGTTCGGAATCCGTCGAACACGTTGCGAGATCCGAGCCCTGCCCCCCGGGCCCTCGTCGATTCGTGTCAGCCGACGGTTGTGGGGGTGGGGTTCGGATGTCGCCGCCCACTGGTTGTCTTGCGCCCACTGCAGACAAGCACGCTGCTGCACGCGCGGCCTTCTTGCAAGTGTCGAGGAAGGAAGAACACTGGCACAGCCTTGCGGGGTGAGGGTGGGGCAAGGAAGTGGCGGGTCCCGCATCGGCCGTCGGGCTCCTGGCTAGCGGTCTGCCCGACTGAGGGCATGGATGGGCCGCGTCCAGGATGGCGACGCCCCAGGGGGGCTCGAGGAGTCATTTACGTCGGGCCGATCGTGCGCCTGGCGGGCTTCCCGGGCGGGGCCTTTGGTGGGGCAGTCTAGGCCTCCCAGATGGGGTCCGAGCAGCTTGGGTCGGAGGATCACGCCGCACCGCCGATACATTGGCGATGCATCTCGATGTGGGGCCCGATTTTCTTCACGTCGACGTCGCCGATGCATCGGTGATGCATCTGGGAGGCCTCTAGACAAGGGGGGTGATATCCCGCATCGGCCGTTGGGCTCATAGCCAGCTGCCTGCCCGATCGAGGGTATTTGAGCGGCCGTGGAGGGGTAGGCTCGGAGGGCATCCACTACACACCTGCACCGATCTTGGCCAGGCCGTGGTCAGGATCGGTGTAAGTGTATAATTAGCGTCCTCCTATAGGGTTGGGGTTGAGGTAGGAGGTCGAGGAGTTCGGCCATTCAGATCCGACCAAGTAGTTGTTGGTTCCTGCCGCCCCGCAGGAGTCATCGGCTTCGGCCAGGACGGCAGCGGGCCTCCCGTAAAGAATGATCAAGAGGCGGCGCACAGTTACTATGATGACGATGATGACGATGATCATGACGATGACGATGACGATGACGATGATGATGGTGATGATGATGAGGATGGTGATGGTGATGGTGATGGTGGTGCTGGTGGTGATGATGACGATGACGACGATGATCACGATAACGATAACGGTGACGATGACGATAACGATGACGATGACGATGATGATGATGGTGATGATGGTGATGATGATGATGATGATGGTGATGATGATGATGATCGTTGTGATGATGATTGTGACGACGATGCTGATGCAAATCTAGGTGATGATGACGATGCTGCTGCTGCTGATGTTGATTTTGATGATGATGATTCGGCTGGTGATGTTGATGTTGATGGTGATGGTGGTGATGACGATGACGATGACGATGACGATGACAACGATGATGAACAGGATGATGGTGATGACGATGATGATGGTGATGGCGATGTTGATGGTGGTGATGACGATGACGATGATGATGATGATGATGACGATGATGACGATGATGGCGATGCTGATGATGCATATAATGGCAATGATGACAATGATGCTGGTGATGGAGATGGTGATGGTGCCGACGATGATGACGAGGACGACGATGCTGATGATGATAATGATATTGTTGATGATGATGCTGATAGTGACGATGATGGGGATGACGGTGATGATGATGATGATGATGCTGGTGACCATGACGGTGATTGTGATAATGACAATGACGAATTCGACGGCGATGAGGATGATGATGCTGATGATGATGGTGATGATGATGAACATGAGTGTGATGATGACGATGACGATGCCGATGGCCATGATGATGCCGATGATTATGCTGATGGTGGTAAGGTTTGTCATGATTGTGATGACGATGATGACGATGACGGCGATGAAGGTGATGGTGATGGTGATTGTGATGGTGATGATGCTGATGCTGATGATGATGATCAACATGATTGTTCTGACGGAACAGATAAAACTGATCGTTATGCTGACCTTTGCGATGATGATGGTGACGGTGATGGTTGTGGTGGTGATGACGATGACGATGACGATGACGATGATGACGATGCTCATGTTGATGATGATTCTGAGGATGATGATGCTGATGGTGATGATGATGATACTCATGCTGATGATCGCGATGCTGATGCTACTGATGCTGTTGACGATAATAATGATCATGAGTATGCCACTGATGGTGATGATGGTGACGATCATGATGGTAATGGCGATGTGATGGTGGGGTGATGACGATGACGATGACGATGGCGATGACCATGACGATGCGACGACGATAAGGATCCTTGTGATGATGATGCTGATGATGATGGTGAAGATGATGATGGCGATGATGATCATGATAATGATGATTATGATGGTGATGCTGGTAGTGATGATGATGCTGATGATGATGCTGCTGAATGTGCTAATGACGATAATGCTGGTGATGGTGATGGTGATTCTGATGATGACGATTGTACTGGTGATGATGATGGTTATGGTGATGGTGATGGTGATGGTGGTGATGAAGATGACGATTACGATGACGATGGCGATGCTGATGATTATGATGATGGTACTGGTGATGAACCTGATTTGATGATGCTGATGCCGACGATGATGCTGATGACTGTCATGATGATGATGGTGATGATAATGACGATGATGATGCTGCTGATTATGATGATGCTGATGATGAGGGTGATGGTTGTGCTTCCGATGATGACGACGATGGCAATTGTGATGATGACGATGATGGTGATGACGACGGTGTCGATGATGATGATGCTGCGATGATGGTGATGATGATGAACATGCTGGTGATGTTGATGACGATGATGATGCTGATCGAGATAGTGATGGCGATGGTGGTGATGACGATGCCGATGATGAAGATAAATGGTGAATGCTGTGGCGATGATGAATGTTGTGATGATGATGATGACGATGGTATGGTGGTGGTGATTGTGATGATGATGGTGGTGATGACGATGACGACGACGATGACGATGCCGATGCTAGTGATGATGATGCACATAATTGTGACGATGCTGATGATGACGATGGTGATGGTGATTGTGATCGTGATGCTGGTGATGACGATGACGATGACGATGACGATGACGATGCTATTGACGATGATGATGTTGATGGGGAGGATGATGATGATGTTGTTGATGCTGGTGATGATGATGCTTCTAACGATGAGAATGACAATGACGGTGACGACGATGGGGACGATGATGCTGGTGATGGTGATGGTGATGATGATGCCGATGACGATGTCGATGATGACGATGTTGACGATTTTGATGATGCCCATCGTGATATGATGATGACGATGGTGATGCTGATGGTGATGATGCTGATGTCGACGATGATGCTGTTGAGGATGATCATCATGCTGGCGACGACGACGGTGTCGATTATGACGATGGTATGCATTATGATTATGTTGATGCTGATGCGGATGATGATGATGTGGCTGAGGACGACGATACTGATGCTGATTGGGGTGACGATAATGATGTTAATGATGATGATGATGATGATGATGATGATGATGACGATGATGATGTTGATGATGGTGAGGATTCTGATGATTCTGATGATGCTGATAATGATGGTGATGATGATGATCATGATGGCGATTACGATCATGATCATGAGGATGCCGACTACAATGATGCTGATGATGATGCTGCCGATGATGATGTCGGTGACGACGACGACGATGACGTTGACGATGATGCTGCTGCTGGTGCTGATCATGATGAGGATGGTTGATGATGATTATGATGCTGATGCTGCTGCTGAGGATGATGATGCTGATGATGATAATGATGGTGATGATGACTGTGCGGGTGACCTTGATGTTAGGATGATGTCGCTGATGGGGATAAAAAGGAGCAAAATGATTATGGGGAGAGTAGACGCGCTGTGACCCCGACAAATGAACCCCACCCTTCTTGACACGCGCCCCTTCCCTCGCTCCCTCATTACGCCCCCCTCCCCCCTTCTGTGACAGCGTAGGATGAGGGGAAGGTGGAGGAGGAGGATGAGGATGGGGACCACGAGGAGGGGAAGGGGAAGGAGAAGGAGGAGGAATAGTAGGAGGAAGCGGGAGAGGATGAGGATGATGATGAGGAGTGATAATGTTGCTTGTGGTGATTACGCTTATCATGTCGATGGCGACGACGACGATGATGGGCGCTCCTCAGCGGAGGTACCACTAAATTGGTGTGAACCGCAGAAGACGTCAGGAAGCCGCGGAGCCATCCAGACTCCACCAAAGGAAGCGATGTTGGCTTAGAGCTACCCCGAACTTCCCTTCTCTCGCAGATTCCTTCCGACAAGCCCAAGAGCCCATCCCCTCTGCCTCCTCCTGCTCCCGTGCTCCGCTTCGCCGCTCCCCGGTGTCACAGTTTTCCCTGCGCTCCCCATGGACCTTGCCATGGCCCCTTTTCGTGTCTCCCTCTAGGTCCGAAGCCCGTCTCCCTTCTCTCTCCACCTCCTCTGTTTGGTGATGGAATACAATATAACCGAGGTATAAGACAGAGGTCGTTTCCAGGAGGATACCCTAGTGTTCTTCGTGTTTGTTGGATGTTCTTGTGCATCCTGGGGAGGGTACCCTTGGATGTTCTTTTCGTTTTGGCCGGCGGAGTGTTTTGTGTTCTTAAGGGATGTTTTTCGGGCCTAGGTCCCACTGTAATTATTGTCCTACGCTCGGCCTACTGACCTTGGGCGTTATTTCTCTCAAGGGGAGGCCTTATTTTACCCCACCAAGTCGGTCAAGTACATGACCGCCGCCACTCCAAGGCACCACAGACCGTGCCTCGAAGAAACACCCTTGGTTCCTCCTGCCCCCTTGGAGCCGATATGCTGTAAGCGCTTTCGCTGCCTACTTCTCTCCACCTGGTGCAGGCTGCCCAGGCAAGCTCTTCGGTGAGTAACATCGTATTTTTTAAATGGCCTATTGACCTTGAACATTCGAGCTCTTAAGTGGAGATCTCTCTCATCTGCGCCCTCATGCACTTCCCAGATCAGGCAGTCTTATCTCATTTGCCAAGGCCGCACGGTGGATGGATGCATGTCGCCGCCATGTTAGCTTCTCTCGTCCAATTCGATAGGTGTAAGAGTTGCGCTTCGATTCCTCACTTCCGCAAGGTCTACATGTGGAGGGTTTAAGGTGGATGGGTTGGTGAGAGATTCGGGGGCTACCCCTTCATATCAATTATTACCCTCATCTGAACTATTTTATCCCCTCAGCACTTCCTGGGCATCGCTGACACCCCCGCCCGTCTCGCTGACTACTTCCGCCCTGAGGGCGGTGCAGCTTGGGATTGGGGGTAAGCAGTCCGTGCATGGCACCTTTGAATTCTGTGCTGTAGCACATTCTCTTGCTTGCGCACCGTCTGGTGCAAGGCGACCTGACCTGACCTCATCACTTCCACTGGGGAATGCTCGCCCAATGCGTTTCCCACTTGTGGGCGGACCGTAGAAGACTTCGGCATCGAGCATTGCTTTCAGGGGTTGCCACTACCAGCGGCTTAAACATTTGCAGGACAACACATTTTGCTTCCCCTACCCTCTCTCCTCTTCGTCTTTGCATTCCTCCTCCTTCCTTCTTCCCTTCTCTCAGCAGCTGGCACCACTGCTCTGGGTAGTCCAACATTTCCCAGTAAGTGAGGTGGGCACACCCACACAGCGCGTTCTATTGGCAGGCGGACGCCAGCGAGCCTCTTGTTTCTCGAACGGTGGCATGCCATCGGCCAAGGGAGTGTTTTTTTGTTCCCCCCCATATGGGCCACAACGCGCGTTATGATCCCCCTTCCCCCCCCTCCCCCTTCCCCCCCAGGGCGCCCCCGGCACTGCCGCAGTGCGTCCAGCACCGCAGTCTGTCACGGTGGGGGGCGGGGGCGTTACGTTGTGCCCCCTCCCCGACCCCCCCCCCTTCTCCCCACCGTCACGCCCGTCATAGCCGC